ATAACGTATCTCCATTATTAAGCAGTACATGACTGTATTAAGTATCCAGTATATCACAGAGGCAAGTATTTGTTTCATAGAATTTTTCTTCTGGAATATCTTGAATTCTTTCTATTTAAAGATATTTCACCTCTTTGTTAGCCATATTTATGGTCACGATAATTTGCCAGGTAGGCAAAATTGGAACAGAGATGGCCACTTTATAGATAAGTATGATATTGTATTTATAACCAGAACTAGATTTATTTTGAAATTACTGTAGTACTTGCTGATTAAATAGATTCATACATATTTATTGAGCACCTATTGTGCATCAAACACTGTTGTAGGTATTGGGGATACAGGAGTGAATAAGATACAGTCCTTGCCCTCTACTTTCATTCTAATGTGTAGAATGACCAAGCATGTCAACTGAAAACAACATCAGCTACATGTTTCATTACCAAAAAAGGATTTATTCCAGGAAGAAGAAAGGGTTGCAATCCAGTGCATGCAGACATGGCAAGCCACGTGCACACCCTGGCCTAACCAAGATGCAAGGGTATTTATATAAGGGAAAACAGAAGTTGAGTCAGGGGGAAGTTAGAAACACAGAGCCTTATTGTAGAGTTCTTCCTGTAGGGTTCTCACCATTACTAGAGTGTGAGAATTTCCACAAGCCCTAGCTCCTCTCATTGACCCTTCCAATTGATTATATTCCCTTAAAGTTCCATTTAGTATTTATTACACAGATACTCAAGAAACATGATGAAAAGCTTACCTATAAAACGGTACCAAACCTGGGTTGATTAGAACTCCAAACTCCATGTCTAGGCCTTAAAACTTAGCAGTTATGGCAAGCTTTGGGGGGCAGTCCAAGAATGGTTACCCAGGGTTTTAAAAGCTTGGACTCTAAAGAAACAATGTAGTGGAGACAAGCTATACGTAATTTTGTGTTCTGGGCGAAAATAGGGATAAATCAGACCTATACATCTTTGTGTGTAGCAGATAGATCTGAGCTTACCAGTTCTATTTAAATAACCTTAAAGTACAATAGTTGTCTGGGAGTGAAAGTTGTTTAATGTTGGCATGTCAGCAGGAGCTCCCCAAACACTGAAGCTCTTGTTGGTAGCAACTTAGGTGTGAGTCCTTGCCGATTGCATCGGGATGGACGGATTGACCTCCGCAGGTAGCCCGCTCTCCTCCAGCTCCTGGACCAGCGCCACTCCCTCCTGGAGAGACCGGAGGGTGGAGGGGGAGCGCAGGACACTCCCGCGGGAGGGGCGCGGGGCGCGGGGCGTGGAGGGCGTGGGCCGGGGGCGGGGCCAGCCCCGCAGACTGGGTGCTCCGGGGAGCTGTCAGTGTCAGGCTCGGGGAGAGAGAGGAAGTGCCGGCTCCCAGAGGACGCGAGCCGAGCGGCCGGCGCAGCGTGAGACAGCACATCCTGCGCGCGCCGCGCCCGCCGCCCTCCGGAGCCGCTGGAGCGCCGCCGCCGCCCGGGAGCCACCGTCGCCGCCGCGCTCGGGGAGCCCAGACTCGCCGTCGCCGAGCGCGTCCAGGTAAAGAGAACGGGGGGTGCCGCCGCTTCGGCGCCCCTCCCCTACAGTAGTTCGGCCCCTGCAGCCGCAGCCGGACCCTTGCCTCGGCCCCCGCCCGGGATCCTGCGTGCTCCGCTGCGCCCTAAGGTGGCCAGAGCCCCCCAGCGGCAGTCCCCTGCTGCAGTTCTCCCGGCAGAGCCGCGAGGTGAGTGCAGAGGAGGAGGGGTCGTGGTGTCTTCACCTTGTCTTCCACCTTGTGGGCGGGGAGGGGCGTCCCAGTGAGCCCCGCCTCGGTCTTTCCTTGGGGAGCAGAAGGCCAGGGGCGGTGAAATTCGCCACCCCTCTGGGCCACCAGCTGACGGCCCTGAAAGGAGGGAGCTGCAGAGGGAGAGGGAAGGGATGCTGTTTGATTACATTCTCAGCTGTCTGCAAAGCTCTTAGATGCTGTTGCTACCCGCCAAGTTGGAGGGAGCGAATGCACTTCCAGCAGGGCATTAATTAACACTCACGCAGGAAGATGCCAGTTTCTCTCAAGGCTGCAGAAAAGTGTGGGTGGGGGATGTGTTTTCGTAAACACCTTACCGGCTGCGTGGCTCTCCTTCCCCGACTCCCACTCCCGAAAATCGCTCTGGCCTTATAAATCTGTGCGTCGTCATCATAAGGGCTGTGATCCTGGCAGCACTGATGGGAACTGAGTGTGCTAGAGTCTCATGACTTGTACCTCTGCTAATAAGGTTAAACCGAAACCCAGGATCAGGACAGGAAATTACTTAGGAAACCAGAGACTCTACAGAAATGTCGAAGATGGAATACAATCGTTATCCTGTCCTCTCCTACATCTAGGTGAGGGGACAGGAAAAAGTAGCCAGCCATTTTCTTGCCTGGAATGCATTTCAAGTGGGCATGCTAGACTTCTTGTAGTTCAAGGTTATGAAAAATTGCTTCCAAATATTTCAGATTAGTGGAAATCGCAGCTAATAGTAAAGCATCTGTAACTGCAGAAGACATCGTAGGGCTCATATTTAGCACAGACATGGGTGACTGTCTATGTACCTATTTTTGTTGTGGAAATTATAGAGAAAGGTGATAATCAGTGTTAGTATATTTGAAATGGAGCTTTCAGTGCAAGTTGCATCCTGAGGGTACTAGTGGGAATGGGATGAATACTTTCTCGGATTATTTAAAATGCCAAATTTTCCCTGAAAGTTTTGGTGTGGGAAAAAAGAGCCCAAACCCTGCTCTTCTGACCATATTTCTCAATAAAATAAAGCCAGACACTCCTACCACTAAGTTATCAAATCTTCTCTTCATAGAAACCAACTCTCCCAAATTTATTAAGGTCTGAGGATCCAGTGCTCCAGGAGCCATATCTCTTAAAAATCTTCTAGCACCATCGTTGGTTGGGATGTTTGGACCCAATGCAGGTTTTTCCCAGCCTGTCCAGCTCCGGGCCCAGTTTTGGGACCAGAACATCTCTTTTTCTTCCTTGTCTCTGGCCTCAGGCACAGATTTACCTACTTCCTCTCCCCTTGGACCTAGGATACTGCAGCTTCTGCTGCCCAGTGCCCTAGAGTAGAAAGATGGCTCAGCCCCTCCCCCCACCTAGCCTGTCCTCTCCTACTGAAAACATGCCCTGAACTCTTTTGGTGTTAAAGATCTACGTCATTAGGTATAATCGCCATTAGGGATATGGTCAG